GTTCTTAATAAATACATGCACTTGCTAATAAATATATTTAAACCTAGGCTTGTTCTTTTTAGCTGAACTATTTGTATAGTTTATTTCTTTTCTCTTCTTTTTTTTAATCTTAGAAAGCTTTCGCACAGAGGCACATCGCATGAGACACATATGTCCAGTTTAATATTACATCCTCAATGGCTCATTTCAGCAGAACGTTTATTTTGCAACTATTGGAAGTTTTCTTTGCGTTGATTGGATTATGCCTGTTCTACAGTAGAGTCACAAGTTGTAAGCCGTAAGAAATTGGCACAGTTAAGTGTAACAAGAATAATCGACTGATTAATTTCTTACAGCTTACCACTTACAACTCTATTGTAGAACAGGCCTTATATTTTTAGATCTAAAGAAATGATCCTATCTCAGCAGACAATTAAGGGCATTCTACAATGCGTTGCAAACCGTTGCTAATTGAAATGTTTATCGCGACAATCAGAAGCATAAATAATACCATTAACACTTCTAATTAATTGTCGCGACAAACGTTTCAACTGCCAACAAATGTTTGCAATGCATTGTTAGAATGCCCTTTAGCCTATTCATGTTGCTTGCAATTTTTGCTCTAAGCAGTACTTCGCTTTCTTTCTCTTCGATGCACAAATATATATTTATCTCATTTCAAATGCAAACATTTTTAGAGATTTTAAACAACACGAACAGATCTAATCATAAAATAGTTGCAAAACTATTGTGTTCTGCTGAAGCCATTGTGTGCCAATGTTAAACAAAGATGAAATTACCACAGGCCTGTTCTTTTTCTATATCTTAGGACTGAACTTCTTGTATAGTTCATTTTTCTCTTCAACATAAAAAGTATTTAAAACATTCATCTAAAAGAAAAAATTTCTCAGAAATAAAAAAGTAATCAAATATTCTCTTGTTATAAAAGTTTAATAAAATATTTTTTTATTTGCAACACATGATAAACCAAAATGACACTTTAAATTGTTGTCAGTGTTTACTCAAATAGAGAGACAAGTTCAGGAGTTTGTTCTAATAAAATGCTCTTGTCAACAAAGTTGGCATGCATATAAACTTACTAGCAGTATACAATTTCCTATTTCATATTTTTTACCATAAAGTAAAATTAAAATTATGCATTAAAAATAATTTCTATATTAAAATTTTCGTCGAAGCGCGCCGAGACTCGTGTTTACATGCGCACACAAGTTAGGTTAGGGTTAGGTTAGGTTTATTATCACAGCAAAAGAATGTGGGTCTGAAGATCGTAGTTAGTAAATACAGTTGATAAACGTCGAGACTTACGCGAGATGTTGCCGATGGTCCCCCAGATACTCGCATTTGACGCAATCGTCGATATATCGTCGCACAGGGTAATCGTGGACCTCGCCGAGACGGCGCCGTCGGTCTTTCGGTTTCGCAACAATTTCAGCCTCACTTTTCACGTCCTTCGTGCAACCTACGAGAAATCGATTAACTGTGTCACATCGTTTTATCACGTAGATTCATATAGATCCTCGATTCCTTGGCATACTCGAGCACGTGCAGCACGTGTCACATGTAAGCTATCCTATCGTAAAGTCACGCATCGCAGTCGAATGGAATTCCTCTTCTTTCTCGTTAACGTGAAGATTTGTTCCTTCTGATGACGATTTGTTGATAGAAGAATAATTAATGAATCATCTCTATCAGCAAGCAAACGAACACGAGCCTCACCACTATCGCGTGCTCACGATATTAATCCACACCTCTTGATCCCCTCGTGCTCGTGCAAGATTCAGCGAAAGTGGCGCCTGGAAAGCGCCAGACACAATAGGTACATCCAGAAGCACGACCGCTTACTGAGCGCTCAGTAAGCTCTTGCATCTGATTGGCATGTTCCATTAGATCTAAAAATATAGACTAAACAGGTACAAGAGTTCACTGAGCATTCAATGAGCGGTCGTGCTTCTGGATGCACCTAATGGGTGCATTCAGAACGACAACCGCTCACTAAGCGCCATTTGAAATTGATCAATCGCATTTATTATTTTGTTTGACGATGCGATTGGCCAATTTCAATGGACTAATCGGCCAATTACACTAATCAGCGTAAAATGACTCTTATATATGTGTTTTAAAACATACTAAAAAATTCTATAAAATACGTAACACAAATTGTAGATTTTCACTATAATTGGCTACGTTCAGCAGAATGTTTATTTTGCAACAATTGAAAGTTTTCTTCAGATTGATTGGGTTATATTTTTAGATCTAAAAGTATAATCCAATCAGGGTAAAGAAAACTTCCAATAGCAGTATGGTAATACAGCCAATTATAGTAAAAATCTGTTTTATCTCTTTAATTAGCTTTCCCATAAAAGCGAAAGAATAGATGCATCCAGAAGCACGATTCCTCATTGAGCGCTCAGTAAGCACTTACATTTTATTGGCATATTCTAAAAATGTAAACCAAACAGATACAAGAGCTCATTGAGCGCTCAGTGAGCAGTCGTAATATTGAATGCACTCATTAGGAATAGGAATAAATATTAAGTTTTTAACCTATCAGAAGCCATATATTCCAATGTAACTGATATCTGATAGGTTGAAATCTTAATATTTATTCCTGTTTCTAATATTTATTCTTTTGTGTGTAGGCCTTTACTGCGCTGCAAAAGTTGGCGCAGTAGCCATTCAATGGGTGTATCCAGAAGCACTATTTTTAGTTCTAACGAAATATGCCAATCAGATGCAAGAGCTCACTGAGCGCTCAGTGAGCGGTCGTAGCTTTTGGATGCACCCATTATTTCCTCCATTATGCGCAGAGTCTAAAGGCATGATCAGATTAGAGATTGAGAGATCGAGATTGGATTGGAATTTAATCAATCAGAAGAAAGAAAATCGATCTCAAGTTTAGTGAACTTATTTTGATTGGTTAAATCCAATCTTAATCTTAATTTTTAATCTGATCACGTTTTAAGCATTGCTGCGTTCTTTGTATAGAAACACATATTTATTAAAATAATCCTTTTGTTCTAACATAATGCTATGGCTATGTTCCAAATTTACTGCCAGCACTGAAAATGCAACAATTTACGTTACGTGCACTATAGATTTTCAGTACTGGCAGTCAATTTTGGAACACATCTATAAAGAACATATAGATTTATATACATATAAAGCATTCTCCAATGCATTTCGGAAAAAATTCAAGGTATTTTTTAAAAAATTTTCATAAATTTAAAATACAAATTCTTAAAAATATTGAGGGGTATTATAAAAATTTTGTCTACCAGAGTTTTTTCCTACCAAAGTAAATGTTAATCAGTTAATGAACAGTTAGTGGGCATGACCTAATTTGCTGGACAAAATGGTACAAAATTTTATTTTAAATATTCAATTTTTAATGATATATAAACGATTCTAAATAAATTTATTGTTTATAAAAATCTAATAATGAATTTATTTAGAATCGTACCTATCATTAAAAGCTTAATATTTGAAATGTTTTATCACTTTGTCCAACATTGGTTTATATCCACTAACTGATATATTTACCGCTTATATATACCAGTTCAATGAGTTCAGAATATGAAGCTCGTTTAATATAAATTCAGAAAATGGAATCTAAAATAAGAATCAATAGAATAGGGATGATATTTATAATTTGTTTTTTTTAAGACCATTTTAAATAATGTCTTAAGATGTTAATTCTGATTGGTTAATGACATCTTAAGACGATCTTAATTAAATATGAGATCCGACTATTAAAGTCTAATTATATTATATCTGGTATAATGGACAAATTGCGCATATGCGATTAAAACCGCGAAAAGAATGCAAAATTTAAAAATAATTTAAAGAGAATATGAGTGGTTCTATGAATTTTGTCCAAGTTTGTTTGTTTTTTTTTCTAATCACTTATGACGCGTTGATTTTCTGTTTCAGTGGAAGAAGAAGACCGAGAAGTATCGGGCGGCGATAAAATTCAAAGCTGCTGCCCGAATCGCCCGCGTGACGCATGATTTGTCCACGAGCGTGAAGTCAACTGGCGATGTTTCGCAAACGATCGAGGAAGCGGATGAAAACGCGGAATGAAACTCGGACTGAACTCTGAGCATCGCTGCGGAAGCTAGTACTTCGTATTGTCACACTTTGTAGTCAAGCTTTCTTTAAAAAAAAAATGAAAAAAAATGGTAGAAGTCTCGTTAGCAGAGGCTGGGGGCATGTATTTGAAATACTTTTATTTAAAACAAATTATTTGCAATACAAATGTATTTTGTATTTCAGAGGAGCATTTGAAAGTATTACGTATTTTGTATTTAAAATCAAAAGAGAGAGAGAGAGAGAGAGAGAGAGAGAGAGATTAAAAATTATTTTTATTTTGTAATTCAAATAATAAGATTAATTGTCAATTATAATATTCAAAATACAAAATACTTCTTCAAAATTTTTCGTTATTAATATTAAAATACAAAAAAAAAAACAATACTTTTATATGCTCCAAAGAAATATAAAATATTTTCATGTGCTCCGTTGAAATACAAAATACATTTGTATTACAAATAATGTGAAGTTGTTTTACAAATACTGTTTTTCAACTAATAATGCCTAGCCCTGATTACAAGATCAATATAGTCTAGTATTATAGTGAGATAATCGGTCGATCGGTCGATCGATCGCTCGTTAAGGGAAAGGCGAGCGGTACAAAGAGAGAGAAAGAGAAAGCCTACGGCTACAGAATTTATATTACATTTATTTATGTCTTTTCCTTCGTGTAACTTTTCTTACAATCTCCCACGTTTGCTTTCTCACTCTCAATGTCTTTCCAATCGAATGGTAAACTGTGGCACGGGACGAGCTGGATCTCGTCTTCCCCCGAGGACAATGCCGTCGCTCATCGGGGGGGAGGGTTCGTCAGATGAGTTTTGCGAGGACCGAAAGCTCCGCTTTTTCTAAATTACATCCTTGGCAACGCTCGGCCCCACGCGATGGGATTATCGAGTTCGTCGCTCTTGAAAGTGTCCCGTATGTACGAATCGCGGACGTTTGCGATTTTCTTCCTGTCGGTCGAGACGAAAGGTTCGCTGTGCCGTTGAGAACAACGTGAAATCGCTTGCGACGAGCGAGCTTCGAAACGAAACTTGGATCGTCAAGTCACTTCGTCTCGGCGAAACTGGGATAAAAGACACGGATCGCCGTCGGATGCGTTCGTTGATGGAAAATTCGCTTTCTAAACTTCCTAAAATTCCTTTTTGTATTTTCCACAAAAAAACGCATATCGAAGAAAGGCGCTTGTTTTGTTCGAAAACGATTGTGGAAGCTTGTCTTCGTCAGTTAACTTCGGCAATACATTACAATGTTATACTCTTTTAGTCGAGTGAACGTAAAGCCGCGGAATGATCTTATCGCGACAATACATTGTAACAATACTGCAGATGGTAAATCGATTTATTGCCGAGAGTTACAGATAAGCTGTATTCTCAATAGAATGTTTTTTATAATTGTTGGACATTTTCTTCGCCGAGATAGGACTCTATTCCTCTAAATGTAGAAATATAATTCAATCAAGCAAAGAAAACTTCCAATTGCAAAAAAAAAAATATTCTATTAAATGCGATCAATGAATTACATAGAATTATACAGAATTATTTTATGATACGCTCTGGCAATTGTGCGTTTTATCCTAATTTCATGCGATGCGTTTATGCCTTCATTGAAAATCGTGTCTTGAAAGCTCGGACCGCTTCATGCGGGCTTGAATCATGTACACCGTGTCTCATGGACACGAAGGCTCTCGTTTAGAAACAGAAATCGATCTCGAATCACGTCAAGATACGTTAATTCTTATCGATAACCGATGAACCGACCTTGAATTGAACTACAGCACAGACTTCGGCGCCGTTGGTAATATATCGCGTACGAATGTAGTGCTAGTAACATGACAAACACGTATTGCTTGAATTAGTCGGTTCATTTGCTTTTCCATTTTTTTTTTTTAGGCTGGTAACTAATAATTTTACGAAGTGTACGTCTGATTGTATTTATAAAATGCTGCATATGCGATACTGTTAACAATATTCGGATTAAAGTCGATGCGAAGTTTTCGTGTTGAATGTATGCGTTTTTGTTTGTTTTTCTCCATTTGAACGAACGACTGGAGCTTGCTCGAAAATGCCGATTATCCGCGATAGGCTTATCTAAATTATTCTGCAGTCGGGCTATTTTGTTTGGTATCCTGTTAAATCTTCCTTTTCTTATTTCTTGTCAAATATTGGGACTTCTTCAAAAATATGCTATAGCGATCTTGATGACATAGTGCCTTGTTGGACTCTTATTGCAGTTCACCGCCCTTTTGCGTTTGTTGTTGTTGATCCCGTTGTTGCTGCGCTTGTAATGTATCCTTAATATGTTTTTCAACCTGTGAAAGATAGTCAGGTGTATAAATAGATGATGTAAATGTGTGCAATAAAGAGATAAATTAGAAATGATCATATATCTCTTATTCAAAATATTTTTTTTTATATACATTTTTACATTATATTTAGCAAGAAAATAGTAAAAAGTAAGATGTTAATTTAATTTAAATTTCTTTATAAAAAGATTTCGACTTAAAAATTCATTCTAATCTTGTTATTGAACAAATGCTTTGAATTTGTATTCTGTTGATAAAGTACTTATCAATAAAAAAACGAATTCAAAACAGCTAGTAAATTAAGAAACATATATGCTCATGTATTGCAAGTATAATCCTGCTCATTTAAATATCTCATTAGTACGTACCACTTTTTTTACATGTCTATATGCACCAGATTCTGTGTTTCCATGAACATTGTCCACTTTGTACGGCGGTCTAATAGTGACATTATTAAATACAACAATATTAGCTCCATTCCACGTAATATCTTGAATAGTTTTTGAAATAGCAATAAAGAGCTTCTGTCCCTCTGGAGATACTCCGGCCTGCAGAGCCATTACCAGTCTCCTTTTCTCATCGATCTGATTACGAACTCTCGTGTTTAGCCTTTGTAAATTAAGGCTCTGTGGTGGTTCACTGGTAGTAGGACTAACTTCTCGTGTCACTTGAACGTTGGACACAAGGGATAAATTTACTATATGTATATCATTTAATGAGGGTCTCCCACTCGACGATGGAGATTCTAACAAAAATTACTGTTAAGGAAAATATTACTTTCAAATACATAACAGATAAATGTCGCTTTTCATAATTACATCTCGATGAATTACGGCAACAGATTTATGGCAAAATAATAGCAGCTCAGTAAAAACTTTTAAATTCTAAAGCATTAAATCATTATTATACATAATTTAATTCCATAAATGTCATAACTTCAATGAATTCATTCAGATCATTGTAGATTTGTAAATTTTCTGTTTATCAATAAAAAGTTGCTCCAATATAGATTAAGATATTCAATGACTTAAGACTCAACAGTTTATTAACAGTTAGTATTAACATTATATATATATATATATAGTCAGTAATAGTTGATCAAAAAATGTATAAAGATAACAAGTGCACCAGCGAGCGAGATCGACTATCGACGAGACACGTGCTCACAAAATCGGTCAAACACACAAGACGTCGCGCGATTCGTGGATAGCACGTCGACGAAGGAACACGGTCAACACGGACGACAACAAAACATACATGCACGAAGAAGACGAACGGGTTGAACAGGCACGCAAGATAGACCAGCATGGTTGACGGTGATAAGAAACTAACCTGAATCGCGCGACCGATTTGCCACGTACGTGTCTCGGACGAGTCGTACGACTTGGACGACGAACGTCGTCGAACTCGCGGTACGGAGTATCACGAGGAAAGCTCGCGTTAATACGCGATAGAAATATCGCCGTTGTAGCGACGCGACGCTATTTACACTGCGTCCCCGCGCGGCGGAAACGCACGCGGGCAACCACCGTCGTTGTTATCACTGTTGCCGTGGTTGGCCGGTGCCGTTTTTGCGTAAAAAGGATACTTAGTATCAGCATTTTGGTCTGTGGATCGAACGCCAACACCTCACCCTCTATCTCCTTCTCATGGCAGGTTTTACAAAGCACCGTGCTGCCGATGCTAAACCAGTCGCTGGCTCCGGCCATTTTTCACTGCCGACAATATTGGCGACTTGCGAGCGACCGTCCCTCTTGCGGCTATGCGTGTCGTATGTACATATAACGCTATCTTGCGAGCGACCTTTCCAATTTTCTGAGATACTTGTCGTTGTCCTTGAGAGAGGGCGCCACATGCCAGCTCGTAAAAGTCACTAGAAGAGCGTTCGCTTTTTGCAGTATCTTGAGGGAGCTGAGGCAGTAAAATGTTCTGCAATTTAAAAAAGGTTTGTCTTTTATTCCTGCACTCTCTCTGAACTGGTGCACACGGTGAAGTAAATTGAAGTGAAACAAATATACATTGGTTGCGTTCAGCGGAACGTTATTTATTTTGCAACTGTTGGAAGTTTTATTATTAGATTAGATAAAAGTATATATATATATATCTAATCTGATTTATAGATATATACTTATAGTCTTTTTATCTGACGCTTGACACTCATTTTCAGCGTCAAAATAAGTCACGTGATAGAAATTGACGAATATTAAGCATCAATTTTGATTATGTGACTTATTTTGACGCTGAAAATGAGTGTCAAGCGTTAGTATAAAAAGGCATTTTTAGATCTAAAGGAATAATCTCAGTAGACAATCATAAAACGGTTACAAAACTGTTGTATTCTGCTGAACGCAGTCATTACCAAAAAAGTAACTATTAACAGTTTATACATCCACACCAGCACAAAAGTTGCAGCAATATTACATCCAGTAAACAAGAATGGATTTAAATGAATTGAAATGGATTCAGATTTTCAGAAGTATTGATTCACAAATGTTAAAATGAATGTTAAAATAAATGCTTTTTAATTCTGAATGCATTTTTATTCATTTATAGGAATTGCATGGAGCATATCTCTATGACTTTTAATCTAAAAATAATATTAGCTTTTTCTGTGCATTGTGAATACTGTTCAATTCGAAATTTTGAATAGGAAATGCAGTTTTTCAATCCAATTGCATCCAATTGAATCCAATTAAATCCAAAAAAAGTATTTGCTATTTAAAAAATATTCGGATAGAAAAGAATTTCAATCCATTTTAATTCATTTTTGTTTGCTGAGCTCTTCTCTTAATTAAAAATTATTAACCGTGAGTTTTATTAAATAAATTTTATTTAAAATATACATTTTAAATAACAAAAAATTAAACAGTTATTTAGTATTTATTATTTAAAATAACTTCTTTTGACCTATTTCTTATTTAAATAATATGAATAATATTTTAAATAAGTTTTTAGAATTTATCTTATATTTTTTATTCTAAATAAGTCGCATCAAATATTTTACCGAGCTCTGGTTTCAACCAAGGTTCAACTTATTTCTCATCTTTTTTTCAATTTTAAAATTGGAAAGAGATAATGAATAAATTGAATCTCGGTTAAGAGTTAACCATAAGTTGTGAAACTGGACCTAAGAATTATTTTTCAATCAATAAAAATTCATTTTAATGTCATTTTAACGTTACCGTGACTTATCGTTCTGTTTCAGTATGCGCGGCCGCGTCGCGCCGACGACTTTTCGTGGTTCTTCGGCCGTTTTCGGATTCGTCCGTCGTCACTCGGCTTGGCGGGAATGGCGGGCAGTTCGTTCGTTCGCGCGGCGCGCTCTGTTTCCAGTTTAGAATCGGCGCCTAGATGAGTCGTGTCATCCTGCCTGCGGCTGGGCCAATTTTCTCGAGCGACACATGTAAGTGAGTGTCCCTTTTGTCGTACCTGGACGTCACCTTCTTTCTCGCATCCCGTTCTCCGACGGTAGCGAGCGATCACCGCCGTCATTGTGCTGTGGAAATTCGCGAATTGTGTTGAAACAACGAGAAGTTGGACGCGCGACAGCGAGTCAAGTGACAGTGTGCCGATGGAGCGACTTCGACCAGAAGCGAAGGTACCGTTCTTCCTTTCAACCGAATTTTCCATTGTTTGCATTTCATTAATAATACGGGAATTAATTCTCGACACTCTTTGTTACGGTCATTAGCATACTTGCATGTACCTTGAAGTTATGATATAATGAGATCGCTCATGATGAATAAAACATTTCTAATGAATGTGATATGCTGTGATATAGTGTAATGTGTCATAGTGATAACATCATTTTGTGTTGATAACATCATTATTAGCATTTTTTTTATCAATGTTCGCGTCGACGAAATAATATTTCGATCAGGACTTTTTTTTATTCACTTTCAGAATTTTCACTTTCACCTTTGCAATGTTTTATGTCTTTAAAGACAGGATAAGGTGATACAATATCGAATATAATACAATTCTAGCGAAATAAGATTTAAATCCAATTTTTGAAGTTTAAATTTGATTTTTTTCTGGTTGATTGTTTTCAGTATTCTCCATACAATGAGAGAATTATGAAACTTGAATCTCGAAAATTGGATTCAATTTCATTTATCTTTTGTTTGAAATTTTACTATAATATTATACTTTATCTTCTTAACTTTTCGTTCTTCGGATCTATAAGTACTTTTGTTCATTTTTAATACAAGTTGTAATATGAATTTCCAATTCTACGACAAATATAGCGTTTTATCGTGCATGAAAAGAACAGTTTTGCTAAAATAATAAAAAATTTTACAGCTAAATACAGATTTAAAAATAATTTTGTTGGACTATTAAAATAATTATTTAAGATTTTCAAGTTGATTATCAGAATGTGAATACTTTTTGCAGTGTTACGTTGAGAAAAATTTCTGGTTGAAAACGAATGAGAAGATTCTTATTATATCGATCAGAATTCTGGTTATTTCAGCTAGAATCCTAATAGATTCAGTCAGAAAATTCTGATTTGTCTATTTTAAATCAGAATTTTAATTAATGCAGTCAGGCTTTTTATATACCTTGTATAGAATACTTTATACACAGAGAGAATTTTTTCTTAGAATTTACTCTGAAAATATGGTAGTCCTGGGAAAACATTATATTTCGAAGAATTTTATGTAAATTTCTCTCATTCATTAATGTATCTATAATAAAATATAAAATAAATTCGATTAATTTTACTGAAATGTATGATAAAGATCTTTAAAATATTATATTGTACCACAACTACCATATTTTCAAATTAAAAAAAAATTCTCTTCATATATTGTATATATCCATTAAATGTTATTCTATCTTAAGTAACAAAATGACAAACGTCTTAATGACATCTTAACATCAATAAGGCGTAATTAAAATATATCATCTTGCTTGGAATATAATTATTTTGATAATCTGACAAAATAATTTTCAGATCTATATCTAATTAAATTTTTGGGTAGTAAAATTGTTTTTTTCTTGTTATACTCTTTTTCATTAACTTTTTGTATCACACATACTCATTAATTTCTGATTTTGTAAAAATCTCTCAAAAATTTTCTGCCTTTCTTACAAGTGATTAATATCCATGAGCATACATTTTTTTATAATTTGCGTCGTAGGTTCTGTAATCGGCTTACTTAACGCGCGTTTATTTCGAGTTTCTTTTAATGAATTAAGTTAATACCCTCGTTCGTGATTACGGAAGTAGATTAAGCCATGTCTCTTTTGATTAAAAACAGATTTTTGTGTTCTTATATTAAAAGAAACTCTTTCGATCGTTTAATTAATTCGTGGGAATATTTGATTGAGATATATCTTTAATGTGGAAAAATGGTTTTGCTGAGGTATTAAAAAATTTAGCTAGCACTTAGGTGAAACACAAAATCAATATAAAACCAAGATGACATCAAGTATAAGTCATTTTCAGAAAAATCATAATGATGTCATTGATGATGATTTTGTAATAAATTCTTGATGTGACAATTTTTAACTAAAAAATTATTTAAAAATCTAAAAATAATTTTGCGAAACTATCAAAATAATTATGTACTCAAATATCAAAATAATTAGAATGTTCAAGCAATGTTGTAAAAAATATTGACAATTCCAGCAACTATTTTGTGTTCTACAAATTATTGTGATGGTCGAACAAAATTATTTTCGGTTCTCTCTGTATGTAATTAAATTTTTAGATACTTCACAGAATAATTGTTTTTTTCGTATCTTTCTCGAAATTTTTTTTCCGTTAATAAAATTTTTTCGAACAGTTTATGGTATACGCTTCGCGTTGCAAAATATGTATTGTAAGATTTAATATACACGCTGCTCCCTTCACAAAATATTTAACCAGGTTGACTGCCAGACAGATTATCGTTCTTTCATCTTCCCCGACATGTTTATCTCTGTGCATTTGACTCGTGCAGAGAGATTCATTTTTCTAAGTAAAGTGCAGAGTTGCGGACAGGTAGTAAGAACATATTCCCGCGTTTTATGTGCATTCGGAGCATCACGCATCGAAGATTAATCGAGATGGCTGAATTTTATTGTGCTTGATGAAATATGAATTTGAGTACGTCATGATAGATAACGAAGCGGAGATTTTCTCTTCCTGTTATTTACCGAGAAAAATATAATAAAATACGCAAGTAGATTCTTGGATCTTGGATTCGCTTTGCGAATTGTGTGTATGAAATGCGGAGTGTATTTTTGCTTTGTGTAATACTTTTACGTCCGAACGAATGCTTCTGCCTCCACCTACGACCATTTGGCTCATTCTTATTTGCATAACTCAATATTTTAAAGGTTACGAATATCGCGAAAAAGAACGTTATTTGTAACGAAGGAAGAATTTCGAATCGTGAGCGCTGTCGAGTGTATAATAATTTGATTATAATCGTCGAATTCGATAAATGTTAAATATGCTCTTTTAAAAGTTAAACAATTTAAGCTAAATGATAAATGAGGAGCAGACTTTCAAAATGCGTTTTGTTCAAAATTTTAATATTCAGAAAACGAGAAAAAAAGAAACTACGCACACAAGAAAATTATGCACTTTATCGAAAATAACAATATGCCAATCAATGCGAAATATTAAACAAAAATTGTTAAACAATTGCTAAAAATGTTAAATAAATGCGTTTTATTTGTCTCTAATTATAAGATATAATGCACTTCGAAATGTCTG